TTACTCGTGACCAGTCACTTTTATATACTGTGAGTATTCTCTCCTGCGCATAATAGGATGATGCTTTTGCTGTCAGGCCTGTAGGAAATCAAACATGCTCATGTAGGGTTCCAATGGAGTATGCTTGATGTTTTTTACCTCCTTGAGATGGGATATGATGGGCATCTCATCTGTATTACCTCTTGTTGATGTTTTTCCTTTAAAATGGGGGAATATGATGTGCATCTCATTGGTGCACAAGCTGTGCTTGTGAGCTGATCAGATTGTCTTTCTATTAAAAAAAATGCATTACTTGGTTTAGGATTAAAGTACAGACTTAGTCTCTAGAGATCCCTTAACCTGAAACCACACGTTAGGAAGCACGCTCCTGAACTTATGCAGCAAACTATGTACCTCTCTGAGCCTTCCACCTTCATTTTTGAAATTGGTAAGGCCTGTATTTAGGGATGGCAATGGGGCGGTGCGGGGCGGGGCGGGTTTAGCTTAACCCGCAAATTTTTTAATCCGCCCGCATAACAACTTTTTTTATTTTCAAACCGCCCCACCCCGCATAGACCCGCCCCGCATGAACCAGCCCCGCATAATTTTTTTAATATTTTTTTTTCTAGTTAAGTTTGATACTGAAAATAAAATTCATAAAAATAAATTCATTTTTCATTAAGTTGTATTAATTTAATAGATAATGACTTAGAAATTTGTTTTTAGAGGTCAATTGGGAAACATGTAAGAAGTTGTATTATTTTTTATTGAACCATTTTCATTTACTGTCTTAAATATTTTAGTAGCTTTAAAGAAATTATCTTGATAAATAATTCTCTATCACTCTTATAACATGTAAAAAGTTAAAATTAAGTTTGAACTCACATAAAATCACATATACCCGCAACCTGCCCTGCCCTGCTCCACATTACTTTTAAAAAAAACCCACTTCAATCTGCCCCGCATCCCTCCCCCCTCGCACAACCTTAAAACTGCTCCGCATAGCCTTAAACCCACCCCGCCCCATTGCCAGCCCTACCTGTATTAAGACTGAATATGAAGCTTACAGGACCTTTGAATGTAATTTTCCATGTTCATGTGCTTTGACTTCACCTTGGAATATAACAAAACGTTTCATTATTATGTAATCACTATTATTTGCAGGCTGTCCTTGATGCTCATGATGCTGTCATTTCTGCCATGAGGCCTGGAGTGAGCTGGGTCGATATGCATAAGTATGACTTTGCTGTCCAAATTTTGAATTTGGAATAAGTTGTTGAGATAATCTTTTTTTTTTCTTTTTCTGACTCACAAATCAATAGGTAGAATCACTAGAAAAACTTATGGCAGAACTTGGATCACTTAAATGATGATATGCTTTGCCTAATGTCCTCACAAAATCAGTTGATTCTATATTTCGTCAGGTCATATAGATAATGAATTATAGCTTGTCCCCTCAATTTCAAATTGAACATTTCCTTTTGAGGACGTCAAGATGATGTTAATTTTTCGAAAGTGGAATATCTCATTACTTGTTACGTGCAATCAGAAGATCATTTGTTCCCCTTCCCATAGTTCCATAAACAGAAAGATTATCAACAAAATAGAAAAATCTAGATAAATGAGAAGGGTAACTACAGACATACATTTGGAGTCCCTTATTGTGAAGTTCTCTTGAGTAAACATTCTGACTTGATAAATTGTTATGCCAATGTTTTAATAATCTTTTAGAGTCATGTAAAATTTGCTAGATATCAAAATCAGAACGGAGGGTGCAATAATCTACATCCCTATCCACAAACCTTAGAAAGTTAGTTCTCTCTCTTCGGACACAAAGAAACAAAAAAATCACGCATCTCCATACTTGGCCAGAAGAATGAATGTGTACAGTTTGGAGCTTTGACAATGAGTGTAAACTCTATATCCCCCAACCACAATCACATTCTCTGGTCTAATTGCTGTTTTTGTTTATGTATTTCTGATTTATCCACTAGGTCAGTTTGGTCTCAGTGAACAGATTGAACAAGCTCGATTTGACGCACATGAAACCTATTAGGCCAAAAGCTCCATGGAGAGCTTTTAGAATCAAGGTCCAGCAAAAAAAACTAAAAGTTTCTGACATTGGAATTTGCTGAAGTTCTAGTTCTTTCATTAAACTTTTCTGCTATATTCTTCACTATTTTGAATGTATAAGTGGCAACCTTACAACTTATCTTTCTCCATGTACCAAGTCTTGAACTCTTTCTCGGAAGATGAATTAATCTGGTCTTATGTTACCATGAAAATTAGTGAAACTTGTGAAGTGGAAGAGAAACTAAGAGGAACTCGGGTTCATATTCCCTCAGGCTATTGGGGTTCAAATAGCTATGTTTAGATGTCCTAAAAAAGAAAGGTAATTACTATAGGAGTAAATTAAGTTACCTACTCTATTTACATTAAATTTAGAAAATATTCGCAAGGATTCTAACAAAACTGTCCCTGAACAATCAATTGAAGTTACCCTTATTTTTCGAAATAATGAGATGCTATGGCAAGTTCAAACATGTTGTAGTTTATGCTATAATAGAAACATGAAGCTTTATCTGCATCTATAAGTGTTTATTACTGCCAAAAATCAGGTGAAATAGAAGAAGTAGAACAGTTGGTAGATTTCCTAGGATCTATGTAATTATGGATTTAGCTTGTAACTTTTTGGAGGTAGGCAGCATACCCTTAATGCTGAAGAATACAACTTAAACTTTATCGAAAAAAAACTGTCAGTTATCACATGGCATGAATGTCTGCCTTTACACAAATCATTATAGCTTCGTTTTTCACCATGAATTGCAGATTAGCTGAAAGGGTCACTTTGGAATCACTGAAGAAAGGGAACCTACTTGTTGGGTATCTTCTATTCCCTTTGTATAATTACTCTCTCTCACGAGCCTTTCCTATAGAGTCTGGAGTAGCTGAAATGGAATAGGGATTTCTTTACTTTGATCAAAGGGATATTGATAAAATGATGGCCGAGCGACTTGGGGCTGTTTTCATGCCTCATGGATTGGGGCACCTTCTTGGAATTGATATTCATGATCCTGGGGGTTACTTGCAGGTTTAATATTTTTCGCTACATGTCTTCCTTTGTTAAGTAGCCTGCAGTTTTTCATATATTCTCTGGATATAATTGAGAAGTGAATAACTGACTTACAATTTCAGGGAGCTGAAAGACCAAAAGAACCTGGATTGAGCTCTCTACGTACTAGCAGAAAGCTCTTAAAGGGAATGGTCAGTAGTCTAAGTTTTGGTGACATGACATATTAGATTTAAGCTATTAGGTCCAAACTACTATTTCGTGAATTGTCACTGAATAACCATTAATGTGGTTCTTGGAAATTCGCCCAACATGGATGTGTTGGCCATGCAATCAATGAATTATGACTTGAGTACAAACAACATGCTCATGTCTTTTCAATACCTTTTTTGTTAATAGATCTGAAATGATTTCTTCAATACTACCTGCATTAATTGTTGGTCTTAAAATTTACTTGACAAGTCACAGCTTATTGCCACAATTACAAAAGATAAATTCAAGCTTGATCATTGACCATGTGAACTTTCTATGTTTTTAGTTAAAATAACATGAAGGTATATTAAAAATAACATAGTGGGTAGGGTAACTGAAATAATTTATTGGGTTTCAAGTAATTCAAGGAATTTAGACATCAATGGGCCATTTTCTGTATCTGTCTGCAAAACCTCCCCGCATATAAAGTTTCTTAGTCCTCACTAATCCCAGAAAATCTATTCATGGTCTTTACATTGTTCCCTTGCCGTTTTGAGTGATTACCATATTTCAAAATTGGTTAGGCTATAATTGTGCGGATTGTTTTTTTAGGTGATCACTGTGGAGCCTGGTTGTTACTTCATTGATGCTTTGCTACTTCCTGCCTTGGAGAGTCCAGCGGTTTCAGAGTTTTTCAATCGTGTTGAGATCAACAGGTTTAGAGGTTTTGGTGGAGTCAGAATTGAAAGTGATGTGGTGTGTTTTTGCTGGACTTCTTAGGTGTTATTGGAATAACTGCTATATCATGTGCATATTAGCTTGAATGTGGTTCCTCTTTAACCTCTACACCTTTGTCAAGTTGTACCTATCTGTTAAATTTTTCCTTTGTGTCCTTGAAGTGTGTTACTTCCAGTGGATGCGTTAACATGAGCAAATGCCCGCGGAAGATTGAAGAGATTGAGGCAGTGATGGCAGGGGCTCCTTGGCCGATAGAAAAGACTACCTTTCTCTCTGGAAATGGACAAGTGTAATTCTCCCAAATATTGCATGACATCAAGAAAATAGAATAATTGGTCCTCTAGCCATCTTATCCTCGGTATCTGGGCCTCTGAACAACTAGACATACTTCTAGTCTGTTTTGAGAGGCAACTCTGTACTTGTTCTTGAATACCTAGCAGATACGTATATAAAAGTTTGAAACATGCATTTGTAAATGAAGGGAAAATTATGGATTATGTTGCTGTTGCTTCCTATTATGGACTAGCCTTCTTAGATGTGCTGATTGGTGTTATTTTAATTTTTATCTGTATACATGAAATATTTTCTACATTTCTGCCTTTATGTTTTCCGTACACTTTGTATGCCATCTGCTCATGTATGGATTGCATAGAGAAATCGTGTAGATTAGGGGTGTCAAAATAAGCCCAACTATAAGTAACCCGTCCAATCCGCCCAGAATTTTACGGGTTGGACTTAAGATAATTTGAATTGAGTTCAATTTTAACTTATTCAAGTCTTCTCTCATTTTAAGAGAATCTCCAATTAAGTCCAATTTAATATTCAATTTCAACTCGTTTTAAGATTCTTTATTTGTATTGATGTAGTTTGTGTTTTTATATTTAATGTATAAATTACTATTTATTTTATATCTTCTATGATTATTTATCTTTTTTTTTTAAAAAAAAAAAATAAATACTGGAAAAGCCCATTTATTATATACCAAAAGGTCAAATAAAGCTTTGGTCCAAAAGTGACCAAATCCCAAATAAAAAAAAGGAAACAAATGAAAAAAAGAAAAAAGAAAACAAAAAGGCAAGGAAGAAGGACATAAACTTCTGATGGCTGCTCTTCTTTGATCTACACGATGACTTTGACAAAACTAGCGATTTGAGGAGAGCCTTACCTCTCGATGACGGCAGAGATGAGACAATATCAAGTTTGAGCGATATCCACATGGGCGCTCAAACTCTCACAAACACCATGGATTCAACTCATTGAAGACTTCTTCAACTTGACACCAATTATCACAAACGTATCTCAAGGTAAGACTCATATCCAAAACTTACAACCCTTGAACTGATAAAAAATTGTTAGTTTCACTAAGTAATTTCATGACTTGTGCAGATTGAACCCCAAGGAGTTGATACCACTGCAACAAACCCATGAAACTACCAAGTAAGACCCTCATTTTTCAATCTAGTAATCCTTGTGATTTTCTGTTCCTTTTTGTTAGCTGGGACAATGTTGTTCTATTGTGACTGCTCCTTTTTTTTGATGAAGTATTGTGACTGCTCCTTTTTTGTTCTTCTAATTTGTGATTGGAATGTTGAACCTGACATTTTGACACTTTCTTACCCTTAATTGCGGCAAGTTTTGTTTGTCTAATTATAATATAGTTCTTGCCTATGATGGTAGCTCCTGTGTAGAATTAAATTGAATTAGTTTTGTACCTACAAAACTGAAAATATGATTAGTTAAAAAATCAGCCAGTATGTTCCCTTTTCTATAGGTGTGTTTGATTTCACCACCTTGTCCTTCATAACATCTCTAATCCACCTTATGTCTACAAAAATTACCCATGGGACTTCCCAGATTCCATCTAGAATCTTCTTGATGATGAGGGAATTTGTCTCCATAATTAATGGAAAAAAATTATGATGGATGCAGTACAATAATCCATCTCTAAATGCCTTAACTACTGCCTCCAGAGCAGAACGAATCTCAAAACTTATGGTTTTAGTAAACAGTAAATCTCCATTAGAATTTCTGACACAAAAAACACTAGAACTTAGACCCAAATTGCCTCTACTAGAACCATCTGAGTTACACTTGAAAACCCCTACATTTGGATAATTCCATCTCACCACTTTACTAATAATCAATGGTCTATAAGCTTAAAAAAACTTGACAATCCATGGTCAATTTTTAGGAATATCAGACAACCAAGGATATCTACAAATAGATATTCCTATTAATTTCTCTAATCATCCCATTTCTGGTCATTTTCCCCATGCTTGATCACATTCCTTCTTTTGCAGATCCGCCAAATAATAAACACTGGTAGTTCTTTGTGTAATGGTTTAAGCTTAGCAATACAATCAAAATCCCACCATTTATTCACTGTTTGATTCAAATGCATAAATGGACCCTGAATCCCTGCTGGTCCTGCAAACATATTCCATAGGCAATTAGAATCAGCGCAAGAAACAAATAAATGATATACTGTTTCTTGTACATTATCAGAACAACAACAACATTCCAGTGTGCAATTCTGCTCCTAACCAAAACTTCCCCAATAGGTATTCTTTGAAACCAAATTCTCCATAGAAGGAAAGAGACTCTGAAAGGGATCCCTTTCTCCCAAATATTCATGATATCCTTCTGCTCATTCTACCTTTGTCAGATGATGTTCCAGGCACTTCCAATTGTAAACCTCCCTTTACTATCAGGCATCCATCAAGGTTTATCTCTGTCATCTGAAACCTGAAAATTACCCAAGACTAAATGCACCTGGTCGCAAAACTCCTTAGTAAATGTGTCTGACATAAGATTCTTATTCCACCTCCCATTCACCATCAACTGATTAACATCTTCTAAACACCAACTTGCTTATGAATGATGGGTAAAACATAATGAAGGACACCTAATTGAGTCCAATTGTCAAACCAAGTACTAGAATGACCACATCTAGGTTCCCACCATATTTCTTGATCCATCTGGTCTCTAGCATATAGCATCATCTTCCAAACCTGAGATCCACCCCTCTATTAATTTGTGGCCTGTGCCTCTTGCAATATTTGTTCCAAATGAAATTGGACCATAAAGAATTTGTAGTCCTAAAATTCCACCATAACTTTGCAAATAATGCTTTAGACACACAAATTGAGATCTAAATTCAAGACCTCCCTCCACTTTTGGCAAACATATATCTTCTCCGGGACCTCAGATTTTCAAAAGGGAAGGACTGCCTTAAATTGCAGTACCAGGATCAGGTGTATGAGACCAGTCTATGATTCGTAGGACTTTCTATTGGTTGTAAATAGGGTCCGTAGAAGCAATCCAGACTTTGTGAAATTTTAAGGGGTCAAGTTGATTTCTTCGGTTGGTGTCTACGGACCGTAGGAAGACCTACGAGCCGTAGCAGGGTTCCATCAAGTTTGAGAAAAAATTATGTTCCCAGTACTTGGTCTACGGTTGACCAGTATGGACCATAAAAAATTCAATGGTCTGTAGGTCAGAACCGTAGATCGAGTCCGACAGTTATTTTAAGGGGCTTTTGGGTTTTTTTCCTAATTGTTTAAAAAAAAATACCATGTCATTTTGTCTTCTACCCTTAAGCCGATATAAAGCTTATAAGTCCTAAAACTACCCATTTCAAACCCATTCTCCTAATTCCCCAAAACCTAACAAACTTCACTCCATAATTTCCTCTCAACCTAAGGAAGAAGAAGAAGAAACTAAGATTCAATTCAAGTTTCCAATTCACCATTCTTTGTGGGATTTGAGTAGAAAGGTATGTGAGAATACTCATAGATTCAATTCCTCCATGGAGTCCCCAAGTTTTTCGATTTCTCAATTCAATTTCAATTGATCAAAATTAGGGTTCTTCTTAGTTCTATAAGGGTTCATCCAATTATGATTTTTATTTTTGAATTAGTCTTGTAAAGTATGATTCAATGTTGATACATGATATTTGAAGTTATATAGACCCATGCATGATTCGTGATTTTTAACTATGAACCTATGAAGAACCCATGAACCTATGAATTATGAATTTTGGAAGATTATGCATGTCTTATGAAAATGATGTTTATGATGATAGGGTGCTTTTAGATGAATGTGTCAATGTTGTTTTGAAAGGTTTCCTCACATAGGAATATGATCATGATTGTGAAAGGTATTTCTCACGTATGGATTCATATTGGTGAAAGGTTTTCTCACTTATGCTTGAATTGTAACTTTAGGAGCTATTCTATGTTTTGATTTTAAGATTGGATTAGTATTGATCATTGTCTTTCCTATGCTATAATGATATTTGACTTTTATCTATTCCGTTGAGATTTAGACTTAGCACCGAGAGGCTTGAGGTGGAGGCTCAAATAGGGTAGTCTCTGATAGCAACCTCTAGTCCAAACTACGTGCCCCTGTAAGATTATCTTAAATGACTTAGCTAGTGGATTCATTTAAAAAAAGATGATATGTACGGATTCTACCTTGGTAAGTAGATTCCCCTTCTTTCGGTATGATGGATATACCAAATTCCATGATATAACACTCATGGTCTTATTGTCAGTTAAAACTAATATCCCACAAAATGACTATGTTTCTTCAAACATTTTCTTATTTCTCTTATTTTAAATGCATTAATTATATTTCATGATTTATATGCCATTGCTTCCTTAAGCTTTTTTAAATGTTCAATTATTGTTCATGCATTGCATTTTTATGCTATTTATGACACCATGTCTATTTTATGCATATTTCCTCATACTTAGTACATTCATGTACTAATGCATACTTGTGTCTACATTATTTCACTAATGTAGGGTACGATGCTCCTACCTCTATACTAGTGAATAGTTGATTTCCTTTGGCATTGAAGATTGGTGAGTCCTCATGTTTTGAGGACCGAGATACTTTCATAGTTTTCTATCATTTCAGTTGTCATGATTTGTATGTGATGTATGTGTTACGTCCCAATCACTTTCCTTATGATCTAATAGAGGGCTTGTTGAGACTTATGTTAGACTTCCGCTTTGTCAAAACTCTTTTATGATAAAGGCTATAAGTTTGAATTTTCTATTTCTATTATGGTAGGCACTATCACTCTCCAGTTGGTTGGTTGTAGTTTGAAGAACCTAGACCTCTTGGTACAGACCTTACTAAGGAGGCTTTGGAGCAGGTGAGGGTGATTCAGGATAAACTTTGGGCAGTTTTCAGTTGGTGAAAGAGTTTTCTTCTGTATGTTTCCCATGAAGGGTATGGTGAGGTTTGGAGATGGGGCAAGCTTAGCTATTGGGCCTTTTGAGATCCTCTGGATAGTAGGAGAGGTTGCATATGAGCTAGCTTTGCCTCTAATGTTCTCAGTTATCCACCAAGTCTTTTATGTTTCAATGCTACTCTGGAATGTTCCTGATGAGTCACATGTTCTGCAGTATGATGTAGTAGAGTTGGATGATCACTTGACCTTCATGGATGAGCTAGTTTCCATTCTTGCCAAAGATGTGCGAAAATTGTGTTCGAGAGCCAATCATATAGTTAAGGTTTGTTGGAGGTATTGGCAAGTCGAGGAGGCTACTTAGGAAATCGAGCATGATATGCGAGAGTAGTTTCCTAGCTTATTTGAGCCTTTAGAGCTTCTTAACTCTTACTTTCGTGGATGAAAATCCTTTTTAGTTGTGGATGTTGTAGTGATCTCTAGGTCATTTTTGTGTGTATGACTCCTTTTCAGTGTACAAGCTTTTCTGTAGCAATGCCAAGTCATTTATGACTTGTTGGGACTGATAGTTTGCTCACTTGGTCATTCATTTAGTTTTTATGTTAGTTTTAGTGTTTTGGATCTTTAGAATCTTGAATGTTCATTTTCGATAAGAAGTTCAGGAAGATGACCTCAAAATCTAATTTTGACATTTCCATAAGCTCCATAAGAGTCATTCTAAGCTAGTAGCATAGTCAACACGTCTCCCGAGGCTTTCAGTGTGAGGCGTGGGATTAGGAGTTTTAACTTTCAAGGTGAACCTGAAGTTTGACTTCAGTCAAAATTCTGAGAAAATGATATTGGATGAGAATTATGTTTGCGTGATTAGCTCCATAATGTTGAGTTTGGTATTGAATGACCCTTTGTTTAGGTCCCGAGGCTTCTAGGCTAATTTCGAGGCCCTTCGTAGATTTTGGCTTAAAATGAAAATTGGGTGTGGGACCCACTTATTGTCGAAACAACCTCGAACGGGAATTTTGATGGTTACTTTGAGTCTGGAATTTCATTCCAATGGACTAGCTTAGTTGTTTTGCACGCACGGGGTTCCGGATGAATCTCGAGCACCCCATTGAAGTTTGAAGACCCTAGCCCTCTGTTTTCAGCTATGGTCTCATGTTTGCTCAACTAGCCTCGTGATCGTGCACCTGGCCCCGCGTTCGTGCACATGGCCTTGTGGCGTGAATGATCGGCACCCAAGCGTGCACGTTTGCGCGCGGGCTATTGTGGTCGCAAGCGACCAACCGACCTAGCCCTCTATTTAAGCATTGGTCGCGACCATCCTAGACCCCTGTTGGTAAAAATGTGATTTCTCCTCTATCCGAATTCTAATTTTGCTGATTTAAAGTCTCACGTGCTCGTAATTTTTGGAGATATGTGGTGGAGTGATTGGATTTTGTTGGTCACACTCCGTTTGAAGAGAATTTCTCCAGTAAGCTGCTGTCCCGTTTTCTGTTATTTTTGTTTCGTATTGTATTGTTGTTTCCATTGATTTAGGCCATGAATTGTGTCCTATTTTGGGACACAAGTTCGAGGCATGGTTTAGGAGCTTTTGACAATTCGATTCTGGAATTTCCATTATGGATCCCACGATTCTTGTTTGACTCCAAAAATTGGTCCTTCTCCATTTTGGGTGATTTTGGTGTCTAAACTACCCTATAAACGTAGTGATCCTATTCTTGATAAGACGGTAGAGTTCAGAGGTCATGTAGAAGGGAAATTTTTTTGCCTCTTGATTATGAGTGCCCGTGATCGGCCTACAAGTAGGCTACAATTTCTTTTCTATTTAGATTGCACATGAGTGTGTAAATTCATGATGATTGGTGTTAATTGGGGGTGTGTACCTAGTTATTCATGCTTTTATTTTAGAAACCATGATTTAGGGTTGATTACTATTGTTTCGAGGGTGGTACCATGATTAGGTGGGGTTATACGTGTGTTGTTACATGCTATGTGATTTACTTGATTTCTTACGTGTTTCTTGATGCATGTTTCGGCCATAGTTTATGATAGAAGAGTGTTGCCTTAAACCTTACACCTTGTGATTTTTGTATGTCTCCGACACTGCTCGGACATACTAGGTCCTTATAGACGGGAATAACAGACTTGAGTCTGATAGTATGAGCCTTAGTTTGGGCATTTATGCAGCTTATTGGCCCTTCTGTCTTTTCTCTCCCAACTCCGATGTGTTATCGGAGGTTGTGTGCTTTCTCAAAATAAGAGTACTTCAGGTTTGAAGCCTTTTATGATACCTTCGGGAGTGGACGTCGATCCACGATGGCTTGGAGCCTACTAGAGACCCTCTTAGGAGTCAATACACCCTTGGACACTTGCTAGCTGGGTGGCTGACGCCCCTAAAAGTGGGCTGGGTGGCTTAGATATCTGAGATCCTCTACGGAGTTGACACGCCCCTAAGTCACTCTTGCTAGTTGGGCAGCTTACGCCCTTGGGAGTGGACTGTATGGCTGGGCGGCCTAGGGTTGATTACTCTTGCTAGGTGGACTAGGAGTTGACCGATTTTGTTGATTTTCAATCTTGCTAGCTTGGCTGGGAGTTGACTTGTCCTAGTTTACTTAGGCTGGGAGCCCGGCTAATGTTTTTGGGTTCAGATTTGTGTTACTCTTCTTCCTAGTAGACTTAGCTATTTTGTGTGTGTTAGAATAGAAATAAGTATTTCCTACTTAAAATAGGAATAGTAATAGGAATAAGGATAAGAATCCTAGTTGGAAAAGGATTCTAATATAGTGTCTATAAATAGGGTCTCAGTGTAACAATTTAAATACACAATTCAATAATATTTTTCCCATATATTTCTCTATCAGAGCATTGGTGAGAAACTTCAAGTCACCATGTCAAATTTCGGCGACAACGGTTGGGACTGATTTGTGTCATCTTTCGTTCTGAAGGTGTTGTGTGAAAGAAAACACCATCACGAGGCTCGGGAAGCTAAGGTGACTGAACCCCAATTAGATCCACCAGAAAACAGCCCCTCACGCGCCTCCACGCGTCGTTCGAAGGTGGAAGTTTTCGCCGATATTTGGCCACGCACTGGCGCGTGAGTGTTGCTCTAGTCATATGTTTTTGAGCAGTTTTCTTTTGTTGGGGTCGTCCAGTATTTCCGACCAGAACCCATTCAGTTTTCTCCGTATCCGATCACCGGAATTAGGGTTTCGGTGATTTTCAGTAAATTTTCGGCGAAATCAAATCACTGTAGGGCAGTTTCCGATAGTTTCCAGCGTACATACTAGTCTATGGAGAATCGACGAGGAGGAGAACGTTTTGGAAGACGTCAATCCAAGTGTAGTCATTGTCATAAACCTGGACACACTCGTGACATATGTTATATTTTGCATGGTCCACCACCCAGTTATGATCCTATTGTTCTAAAGGAATATAATGAGCTCTTCGAAATCGTGCAAGTAAACAACGTTTTGGGAAACCTCGATCCTAGTGTAGTCATTGTCATAAACTTGGACACACTCGTGACATATGTTATATTTTGCATGGTCCTCCACCCATTTATGATCCTATTGTTCTAAAGGAATATAAAGAGTTCCTTCGGTATCGTGCAAATAAACAAACGTCTCCATAAGTAGTTTCGATTGCACAACCTGATGTTTCTGTTAGGGGTAATTCTATTACTTGTGTGTCACAGTCTAGCACTCTTGGATCATGGGTCATAGACTCAGGGGCTTCTGATCATATCTCTGGTAATAAATCACTTTTGTCTGATATTGTTTATTCACAATCTCTTCTAGCTATTACTTTAGCCAATGGGATCCAAACAAAACTAAAAGGGGTTGGAAAAGCCAAACCCGTATCTTCTGTCACCCTAGACTCTGTTCTTTATGTCCCTGGTTCTCCTTTTAATCTAACATCTATTAGTTGTTTGACGAAAGCTCTACATTGTAGCATAACCTTTTTTTATGATTTTTTTTCTCATGCAGGACCGCAATACGGGACAGATGATTGGAACAGGACATGAATCACAAGGCCTTTACTATCTTACCTCTTCAAATTCCTTAACAGCATGCTCCGTTACAGATTCCCCAAATTCCTAATTCACAAACGTTTGGGACATCCAAGTCTATCCAAACTGCAAAAGATGGTGCCTAGTTTGTCTAGTTTATCCACATTAGATTGTGAGTAGTGTCAACTTGGGAAACACACTCGTGCTACATTTTCACGTAGTACTGAGGGTCGTTCAGAGTCTATTTTTTCATTAATTCATCCTGATATTTGGGGTCCTAGTAGAGTCAGTTCCACCTTAGGATTTCGTTATTTTGTTAGTTTCATTGATGATTATTCGAGATGCACTTGGGTTTTCTTAATGAAAGATCGTTCTGAGTTATTTTCTATATTCAAAAGTTTCTTTGCTGAAATACAAAATCAGTTTGGTGTTTCTATTCGTACTTTTCGTAGTGATAATGCCTTAGAATACTTATCATCCCAGTTTCAGGAGTTTATGTCTCACCAAGGAATTAGTCACTAAACATCTTGTCCATATACTCCTCAACAAAATGGTGTAGCAGAAAGAAAGAATAGGCATCTCATCGAGACTGCTCGCACTCTCCTCATTGAATCCCATGTTCTGCTGCGTTTTTGGGGTGATGCAGTCCTTTCATCTTATTATTTAATTAATAGAATGCCCTCTTCTTCTATTCAGAATCAGGTTCCACATTCCATATTGTTTCCTCAGTCACATCTCTATCCTATCCCCCCTCGTGTCTTTGGGAGCACATGCTTTGTTCATAATTTAGCCCAGGGAAAGATAAATTAGCTCCTCGTGCCCTCAAATGTGTCTTTCTTGGTTACTCTCGAGTTCAAAAAGGGTATCGTTGTTATTCACATGATCTTCATCGATACCTTATGTCCGCTAATGTTACATTTTTTGAGTCTCAGCCTTACTATACATCTTCTGATTATCCTGATGTATCTATGGTCTTACCTATACCTCAGGTTTTACCTATGCCAGCCTTTGAGGAATCTACGGTTACTTCTACATCTCCAGTTGTAGTGCCACCACTACTAACTTATCATCGCCTTCCACGTCCAGCCCTAGTCCCAGATGATTCATGTCATGCGCCAGACCCTACTCCTACTGCAGACTTGCCTCCTCCTAGCCAACCACTTGCACTTAAAAAAGGTATACGATCCATTCGAAATACTAACCCACATTATACCTTCTTAAGTTATCATCGTCTATCATCACCCCATTATGCCTTTGTGTCGTCTTTGTCCTCTATTTCCATTCCTAAGACTACAGGTGAAGCACTTTCTCATCCTGGATGGAGGCAGGTTATGGTTGATGAGATGTCTACTTTGCATAAGAGTGGTACTTGGGAACTTGTCTCCCTTCCTGCAGGTAAATCTACTGTTGGTTGTCGTTAGGTTTATGCAGTCAAAATTGGTCCAGACGGTCATGTTGATCAACTTAAGGCTCGCCTTGTTGCCAAAGGGTATACTCAGATATTTGGGCTAGATTATAGTGACACTTTCGCTCCTGTGGCTAAAATAGCATCTGTCTGCCTTTTTCTATCTATGGCTGCCGTTCGTCATTGGCCTCTTCATCAGTTAGACATTAAGTAATGCTTTTCTGCAATGGTGATCTTAAGGAAGAAGTCTATATAGAGCAACCACCTAGTTTTGTTGCTCAGGGGGAGTCTAGTAGCCTTGTATGTCGATTGCGTAGGTCACTCTATGGTTTGAAATAGTCTCATCGAGCTTGGTTTGGGAAGTTCAGCACAGTAATTCAGCAGTTTGGCATGACTCCTAGTGGAGCTAATCATTCTGTGTTTTATCGGCATTCTGCACCAAATCGGTGTATCTATTTGGTTGTGTACGTTGATGATATTGTTATCACTGGTAATGATCAAGATGGTATCACCGATTTGAAGCAACATCTCTTTAAGCACTTCCAGACTAAAGACCTTGGCAGATTGAAGTATTTTCTAGGTATTGAGGTTGCTCAGTCTAGATCAGGTATTGTTATTTCTCAACGCAAGTATGCCTTAGACATTCTTGAGGAGACAGGAATGATGGGATGTAGACCTATTGACACTCCTATGGATCCGAATATTAAACTCCTTCCAGGACAGGGGGAGCCACTTAGTAATCCTGAAAGGTATAGACGGCTTGTTGGAAAGTTGAATTATCTCACAGTGACTAGACCTGACATCTCTTTTCCTGTAAGTGTTGTAAGTCAGTTTATGACTTCCCCTTGTGATAGTCATTGG